TGTGTGTGTGTGTGTGTGTGTGTGTGTGTGTGTGTGTGTGTGTGTGTGTGTATTTGTGAGTATGTGTGTATGTGTATATGTCTCTCTCTCCTTCTTTCTCCATCCGTGCGATGACAGGGTTGTGATACATTGTCAGTAAATTGTTGAGAACCTGGGTAGCACTGAAAGTGAGTGGACAGACGAGTTGGTGACACACGGAGGATTGTTGACCACAAGATAGAGAGAATACACAGAGAGAGTGTGCCAGATCCCAGGGTAGCTCATATTGCTCGTAGCGAAGGGTTTTTTTAAATTGTTGTTTTGTTTTGGATTTTTTATAAAGTACTTACACGCCCACAACTGCATACGGCCATTAAACATTTTCAGTTTGTCAGGAATTTTGAATTTTGCCCGGGTGGCGGCCGAATCCTACTCTCATCAACTTTAAGACCGCCAAGGCAACTTAAACGTGCACAACTTGCAAACGGGACCTCCAAGATTTTTCGCCCTCCTTCGAAAAGGCAAGGTGTAGATCTTTTCTACCTTAAGATCAGGTGCGTGGCAGAAAGACAGCAGTAAGAAGGGGCTATGGAGTCGCAGTAGAAATTCTGCAGAAAGAGTCAGGAGGCCAGAGGATTGGGGGGGGGCAAGGGGGGAGGAGGTGGGGACACCAAGTGGAGACGAAAGCAGACTACAGAACATGGTTAGAGAGCAGGAAAGGAGGTGAAAGGAAATAATTTTAGAGAAGAAAATTTCCCGGTGCTGTCAGGTTTAGAACCCGGCACCTATTGAATGAGAAGCGAACACCGTACCTTCTAGATCACGAGATCCCTAGCAGCGAGTGATAACTCTCACCAACAGCGTTCCTCGTGCCCTATAGATTTTCAATATAAATCTGATGTTATGAAAGGTAGCTGTCTTCCCATTATCATTATGAAGGGGAAAGGATTGATGCAACGAATGGTGGACCTAGCAATTCCTTGGACCGTCTCGAAGCATTCATAACGGATGTATTCGACGTCTTTCTGTACATACACTTTGCTTTGGACGTTGCAGTGAAGGGACAAACAGCCGTTGACTTGATTTGCCTGACGTCGTTTTCTGGTTCAGCTATCACGCAACTGAGTGTGTACCATTAAGTTGCGGCTAAAGTTATTCTTTTCAGAAGCAATTAATGCTTCATAGAAAATCCTGTGACTGGCAGATTCACTCCTTCTTACTATCTAAGTCATTTGGAGGAAAACGCAGCATTGTGACATCAGATTGAGATTGATATGCCATCATCATTCCCACAATTTAAGGAAGTCGTCTTTGACAAAGCCATGTAGCGCTTTGTTGCTCTTGGATTAATTAAAGTAGCCGAGAAACTCCCTGTGCATTCCTATGCACTGATCTCTACATATTATGACAAATCCTCAGAAACAGTCCATATTCAATGATTCATCTTCTGTCTTCTATTTCTTAGTCATAACAAAAAATATATTATGTTTTGAGATTTTCATTTCCTTATTTTCAATATGGTCATTTAAAAATTAAACCCCGTGTAATGGCTGCCACATCTAACTGACTTAATAAAAAGTACTCTTGAAGCCAAAGATGTGGCAAAAAAAAGTGGAGTGACAGCGTATACCAGAATTTAGTCAGAAAGCAGAAGGTGGTTGGATCAAGTCTGAAAACTACAGCACATATACTTTTATTGGGTTTCCCTGATCAAGCTGCTCATGCGTGAGGGGAGAAATATACTTAGCGTGAATAAAAACCAGACACATTTTAATTACGTGTTTCATGAAAAGTTGAAAACCCATTGAGCTGAAATTTTCCACACGTGATAGTGAACACTTGACGCTCCTGATCAGCCTGCATTTATGATCAGGTGCCCAGTTAATAAAGCTCAGGTGCTAGTTATCCCACCCCAGGCCATGACAGCACGCCTATCTCCAACTGAACTCACACAACTGTTAGAGAAACATTCATAAATCCTTCTGTAGACACGCTGCCTTCCATCATTGCTTTGCAGTTGGAAACGACACTAATCTGTGAACATCACATTATCCCACTGTCTCAAAATCCATCGTCGGTGCAGGCGGGCCCAGTTGAGTCTGACTCGGCGGTGCCTTGGGAGCAGGCGGATGCGTCGAGTAGGGCGTCTAGGAATGAGACCTTGAGCTCTGAGGCGTCGGCGCACAGTCGGGGCACTTATGGTTTTCCGTCCCGGCCACTCCCTGGCTGTCTTGGTAGCAGGCCGGAAGCGATCTCGTAGGTACATGACCCGAATGTACCAGTCATGGGCTGGTGTTGTGGCTCTAGGACGACCCGTCCGGGGACCATCCTGCACGGATCCAGACGTCTGCAAACGATTCATTAATCGATATATCGTGTCTCTTGTCACATTGAAAGTCCTTGCAACATTCGCTACTGGCGTATTGGCCCTCAGCATACCAACTACCTGATTGCGCTCTTCGTTCGTTGAACGCGGCATGCTGTATCTTTAGATTTAGATCTTTTGAAATAAAACTTTTAACGTTTTATTCTTGGCTACAGATAAAAGATGTGTTAAACCCGTAAAATAAAATTTAAAAAACAAAATGTTCGAGAAAAATGACAAACACGATTTTTAACCAAACAAGACCTCAGCTTTATTTACTGGGCCCCTGATCATAAATGCAGGCTGATCAGGAGCGTCAAGTGTTCACAATCACGTGTGGAAAATTTCAGCTCAATGGGTTTTCAACTTTTCGTGAAACACGCAATTAAAATGTGTCTGGTTTTTATTGACGCTAAGTATATTAGATTCCGTTGTGCAATAAAAAATGCAAGGAAAATCTTTGGTTACTGATCAAGTGCAAGTTTGGAAACACCGCTCTTAAGAGAGTCAAAAAAGATGAAGTCGGTGCCCATAGTAACACTGCTGACAAGCCATCCGCCAGCGCTCAAATCCACGGCGTCAACCAGAGCATTCATATTGCTGACGTCATTGCTCTCTATGCCAAGGTACAGAGTTGGATAAGCTCCGTTATAGCTGGGAATGAAAGAGAAAAATATAAGAAATAATAAAATTGATCATCTATCCATGATTGGAGAAAATGTCAATAACATCAGATATAGTGATTAATATATTATTCTTATTACTTTAGGTGTTTTACGCCTCTTTCGACTCATTAGATCATTTAAGAGGCGGGTTTTCTGACCCTGCCTATCAGGACCAACTATATTGTGGTCAGAAATTCGTGGCACAACTTTTTCAACTATGGAATATAAACTCTCCAGCTTTTGCACAGCGACATGTATCAATTTATCTTAACAGGCTGATATTTTTGTGAGCATGTGTTAGCCCTATTCTAGAAAATTCTTTAATAAATACTAATAAAAAATCTTGGTGGGTGTTTTCAATAGATTTTAAAATGCCGACATTTTTTTTCTACGAGATTACGCTTATTGAACACTTGTTTTGAGAACTTTTAGGGTAAAAAGGTGTTCACTTTAAAATTAATTTCTGGTAACAAGTTGACCACAAAAAAAGTGTTATTGGTGAGCTGTGACGTAGGTCATACGCGTACGCAAAATGTGTGTGAGAAGCGGGAAGTCCTATGAACAATTCCATTTTCCGCGAGAAGGAGATTCGTAGTATTTTATACAAATTTATGAAAAAAACGTTTTTTAGTTTAGCTTCAATTGTTGCGGGAAAATATGATTAGGTTAAGACAAATTGATACAAACTGCTGTGCAAAGTATGGGTGACATCGATTCACCTGTTAAAAAGATATTTGAGGATAAGTTGTGCTACCTCACTATAGGCTGATGGGAATGCAACATCCCAGCAAACTGACTAAGGTACTCGATAAAGATTATCCCCACTCGGGAATCAAAGGCGGGTCTACTGCGTGCGACAGAAAAGCCCCTAACCGTTAGACCACTTACGCCACGGACACAGTATGAATAATTAATGAACATTAAGAAAAGGGCATTTAACTGGTTCTAGATACTGATATGACGGAAAGTAAACGTTGATGTTATTTTAAATGTAAAGAAAATAGAATGCATGGTAATATATTTAAAAGCAGTAAAACCGTATTATTATCTCATGAGCAAATGTGAAATGATCAAACAAGTTCAACAGTTGGAATATCCAGGATGTATCATTAAATGTGTTGCATTAAAGAAATATAAAGGAGAATTTCAATAGCTAAAAACAGTTTCAATAAACCAAGTAAGCTTCTGAAAAAAAAGCCCATCTCAGTGCAAACCAAAATTAAAAGGCTGTTTTTCGATGTGAAATGTTCAAGTGGGAAGCATTGATATAACGTAACGCTGCTGAAACTCTTTCAAAAACTGATATTTTTATTGGGTTAGATAATGTATAGATACAACTTGTAAATTCGGTAAAACAAGTTATGGCTATACGCTTTTGGTTCAGTATTAATGTATTACACATACTATCCGGCTACGGATAGGTATTGAAAAATGAAAAAAGAGTGATATCCTCTAATGCTAAAGGCTGGTGAATCTATTGTGTTAGAGTGGGATTTGAGAAGGTTTTTTATTTTAAAAAAATTGTAGTAGAGGGTTTTACGGCGCTCGCAACTGCATAATAAGGTCATATGAGCGCCATGAGAAGGTTTGTTTTTCATGTCAGATTCAGAGCTGTTGGCCATTCCATTGTTCAGTAGGAGACAGTTCCTAAAATGGTGGTAGTGAATAGTTTCTATTATACATAACTGTCCAGTGTACGGACCAGGAATGCTGATTGCCTTCTGACCTATAACAATATAAATACTGTTGCTTCATAAAATAATCCCAAGTAACGATGTACTCTGCCAATGACATACATAATTTAGTTATCACTACCCCTGGAAACGATATCGGCAACGGTTAAACGTATAAGCAGCTTACTCTTAAGAATTTATAGGCCTACCAGACAAGCTCATGAAATAACAAGCCTGTGTGAACCATCCCAAGAACAGCTTGGTGCCCACACATTCAATAGATAAAAGTCCAGGCGATGCTTCCCGCGCGTATTTAATGATAATAATAATAATGGATTGCATTTATATAGCGCATATCCACTTATGCAATGCTCTATGCGCTTAACATGAAACATACTCGTATTATGGAATTACGAATCAATTTTATAGGCACATAGTATTACATACGCGTTCACACACATACTCACTCACGCAAGCTCGCACCCACACATACATACACAGATACATACACACATACACACATGCGTACATACGCACATACAAACTCACGACGATCTACAGCGTGGATGGATTCTGTCTAGATTATAATCAAAATATGATGAAAATAGAAATGCTTGTAGTTTTTTTCTTTAGAATTTCCAGATTTTTTGCTTCTCAGATAGTTTTTGGAAGCCAATTCCATACAAGTGGGGCAAAGTCTGAAAAAGAGCGTTGGTCATATGATTTGCAATTTATTTTAAGTTCAACAAGGGTTTTTTTTGTCACTTGATGATCTGAGCGTTCTAGGTGGTACATATGGTGTTAAAAACTGTTTTAGGTAGTCAGGTGATAGATCATGTGAGCACTTGAAGCAAGTTAAACAGATTTTATATGTGATAGTTCTTTTAAAATAGGAGTCACATAATCATGCTTTAGTTTCTAAGTAATTATTAATTATCAATTATTAGTAGCAATTTGCCCCCAAATGATTTGGAGTATTAAATCAAGATTAACTTGTGGATCTGGGGCTTCTATCGCGGTATTACTAAACAGAGACTGTAGAGTTAAGGAAACCCCCCTTCATGAAATTATGCTTTCTGCGTAGGAAGCTCGGACGGACAGAAAGCAAAATCAAAAGTCGGGCATTACCGTGCGACGGTGAGTCGGAAATTGATACCACCGCGATACATGTTTTAACTATTCTCAAGACGTTGCTTCAAGTGCTGGAGCACGAGTAGTACTAGTTCTAGATCTAGATTAATATTATTACTAAACAAGGTGTTGTATTTTTCAAGATAAAAAATGGCTTTTTTTTTCATCAAATGCATTGAAAGAGAAAACCAAGCTGCCTTTCCCAAACAGATAAAATTGTATTTTTATCATACCTACTGACATAATTGGTCTATTCGCAAAGAACTGGATTAGCACACAAAAGCTTAACGTTTGAATCCTCCTAGTGGGATTTGTTATTTATTGTTCTCCTTATTTCTGAAACGACAGGTTTCCTCACGGAACAGCATTGTGTCATCGCAAGGCATTTCTTCTTCGAAACGATCAATTTTTCCCAGGAGCTCGAGGATGAATTAACCAAAAGAAAATCTTTTTTTTTTAGGTCTAGTTGGCATTCCATACCTGCTGCGCGAGCGTAGCACGTCAAATCCAGTAATGAAGACGGGTGAGAACTGGGGTACTCCGTTGAAGGCTGGGTCAAAAGTTACTGTTGCAGAGGGAACATTTGGCACGTTGGGCTCTAGGGGCAGGCCGGTCTCGAAAGCTGTACATCAAAAAGAGGCTTGACCGACTTGGAAGTTTACACCACTAGCGAGGCTGTCAAAGCTAAAGAAAGCTAGAAGAAAGACAGAAAGAGGCAGAAAAAGAAGGGTAGATAGAAATGGAGGCTGAAAGAGATGGGAGGGGGGGGGGTAAAATATTGAGAGGTGGGAGATGAGAGAGATTGAGAGTGGGAGAGATAGATAGAGAGAGAGAGAGGGGGGGAGGAGAGGAAGAGAATTAGCAGGTATAGGGGAGAGGGGGCGAGGGGGTGAGAGACAAAAAGGAGCTAGAAAGAGAGAGAGAGAGAGAGAGAGAGAGAGAGAGAGAGAGAGAGAGAGAGAGAGAGAGAGATGGAGAGAGAGAGAGATAGGAGAGGAAGATAGGGGAGAGAGATACTTCACGATCAAAGTTGTGGTGGCCTTTATTAATTGTTGCTTGTCTTTGAAACTCAACTAACCTGTAAAGTAGGGTAAAAATCTGAAAAATTGTATAGGTTTAATATCCCTTTCAATACTATTAGATTATTCAAGAGGCGGGACCTCTGGGTTTAACGTCCATCTCCGAAAGGACGGAGCTAAATGGGAAATTCGTGTGTCGTATGAAGTGCCTTTCCCAAGGACACAACGTCAGACTGGGCTGAGGTTCGAACCCTCGAACCCACAACCTCATGATTACGAGTTCGGTAGTCTAACCACTAGGTGACCGATGCCACCTGAGTAGGGTCATGTAAAGTGAATGTTAAAAGACATACCGGAAGCAATAAATAGTATATTATGCGGAAACATTGAGTGACAGCACAGCGAACAGCCTGATATGGCTGGCAGTGAAAGTGCTGAATTGTGAGAACACCATAGCCGTACCCAGACAACAATGTACAATCTGGTGTACAATTCACTTCCAAAGTACAATTTTTACTGTTGGTGCCACTTAAATGTTTTTCTTTTTTCAAGAAAAGTTAGGCTTTAAGTCCATGCTTAAGGTGGAGTAAAAAAGTGGGCAAAGAAGAGTATTGTAGATATTGCAA